CAAATGAAAGAGAGAAATGGAGTTTAACGTCCACTCGACACAGACTAGATCATTTCGAGACCAACATATGGATTATATTTATTTCAATAATTCGCTTGCGCGTAGGGGTCTTTAGCAGTGGGAGGAAACCGGAAGACCCGGAGAAAACACACGAGGTTGGACAGGCGACCTACTCCTTGTCACGTACAACCGAGGATTCGAAACCACGCCAGTTGACTCAATGACAGGCCTTATGGTACGGCGCGCGCGTGCTAACCATTCGGCCATCCAAACCCCCATTTTCAAATGACTGAATCGTATGTTATAATGGCATTCAAGCACATTTATAAGGGTGGTTTTATTTAAATAATGTTGTAATTCCGGAAGGAATTGGTGGCTCAGTGATAAGGCGCGGGCTAGCTAATCAGGAAATCCCGGGTTCGACTCCGGCTGTGGCTAAGAAAGTTTATCGGGATTTCCTGGCGTGGTACAGGACGGAGGACTGGTAAGAAAAATGTGCTGGTCTACTCATTGGCGTGAGAGAGAGATAGATAGATAGAGAGAGAGAGAGAGAGAGAGAGAGAGAGAGAGAGCACTCCACATAAACTAGGGCATTTGGGGACTAACATATGGTTCAATTGTATTTCCATAATTCGCTTGCGCGTCGGGGTCTTTAGCAATGGGAGAAAACCCACCAGGTGGGACAGACGACCCTACTGCTTGTCACATAACAACCGGGAGAATCAAAACCACGCCAGTCTGCACATAAACGAAACTTTGACATTTGGAATTCGATGTCTGTCTTCATTAGCATGTTTCATACAGACAAATAGGACGTTAAACCACATTTCTTTTTGTAATAAGCTTATATATTGTATAAAGTCATGTTTACATATTGTATAAAGTCATGTATGGAATGTGCATGGAATATGAGGCTATCAAATAATACCATGAAGGCGTAACTAATAGGATAAAAAAAAATATAATTGAAAAATACCAAACTGGTCATAAAACTTTAAATCATGTTGCTATAGCGGTTTTATTTATCAAAATATTATAAGTAAAATTGTTCAGAATTATCATTTAAAATATTTCCCTTATCGTGTTTATAATACCCTGGTGGGTGAATTCATGTATTAACACACACCCATAATTACCTCTATTCACCACGTGACATGAAATGAGATGGAATGGGGTTTAACGTCCTACTGTTCTGCTCCTACTGGGCTAATGCAGACGGGCACACACCATACAGCGTGCTATGAAGAAAATTTTGCCCGGAGAGCGTGGTTTCCGCTTACTCTTTATCACCGGTACATCTTTGGCGATTGGTGTTGACGTGTTATTCAGAATCATTTAGTTCCGCAAGAGTGAGTCAAAAGCATGAAAATCGTCTGTGTACTTGTTCGCGTGCATGTAAAAGACAACTTTGAGGAGAACGCAGAAACGTCTCGGCCCTGGAGAATACCATATTTACCAGGAATCAGCCATGATGTCATCACAGCCGTCTTGGAATTGTGACGTCATATCAAAAAAGGGAGGTCACTCGATTGGCAAATGTCCAAAGAACAAGCATGACAAGTTTCATGTACCGGAACTGACGGAATCTTGGACTTTTTGGAGAGCATCGTCAGAAGAACGAGAGGAAGAAGATTATCATTATCTCTGTAAGACGTTAAAACCCATGCCATTCCACGTCTTATAAAACATGTAGGCCTAGCTAAATGTTTTTGAACACCTGTTAAGAAAGATAGGCCTATATATAAAATACCACACACTAAACAAGATATAAATAAATCTTGATATCGTGAAGAGTGGTTTGAGTATGGGAGATATCCTGGCTACCCAATGATAAGACATAATAAATCGATAAATTTAAATTAACATTTTAACTACAACCTTCAAGTCCGTGTCATTATTTCAGTAGTTTTATAGTCGATATTGATAACTTTCTGTAGCGTATGGGGGGATTTCCGACAAAAAATTCTCATAAAAATTAACATAAAGAAAACTAATGAGGGGACCATGGTGGCAGAGGGAGTAGGGCTGGATTCGGGAATTTTTTGTTTGGTTTCCGCTTGTTAGTGGTTCAGCACCAAGAACCTGTCAAAAAAATAGCGGCTATTTGTTCGTTGCAGGACCAGGAACTGTCAAGGAACAGCGTCCAGTCATTCGTTGTCGTTCGGATGGGATGGAAAACCGTGGGAGAGGGGAGAGAAGAGGAATATGAAAAAAGTTGGTCCAGTGGGAATTAATATAAAATACGTCAGATAAAAGTAAATTAAAGACCAATTATAGGGGTGGTTTCAATTCCCCGCTTGTACGTGACAAGGAGTAGGGTCGTCTATCCAACCTCGTGGATTTTCTCCGGGTCCTCCGGTTTCCTCCCACTGCTAAAGCCCCCTACGCGCAAGCGAATTATAGAAATAAAATTGAACAATGTGTTAGTCCCGAAATGCCCTAGTTTGTGTCGAGTGGACGCTAAACCCCATTTCCCTCTCTCCCTCGGGACAATCGGGTCTTGTCTTACCACAGAACTATTGCCACTCATCACCAAACGAAATGAAATTGAGGTCGTTATTCCAATGTAAAAACGAAAATGATATTAAGAATCTTTGTGTATATATCAAAAAAGGTATGGAAATAAGGGAAGAATTACTATCAATATAACCAACATAAATAATGTGTGTTGTTTGATTTCTCCATTTATATTGAGATTAATTATGTGCTGTTGTTTTTTTCTCTTTTTATATTGTAAACATTTTGTACCATTGGCTTTTGGCCACAAAGTACTTGACA